AATATTGGGAAGAGATGGAAGATAATACACATAGCACCAAGCACAATATCTATAAAATAGATAGATTCTAGGTAGATTTGACTACACTTAACTCTATAGCATGATGGTAATTCTTCCATTGAAAAGTAAAAATCAAAACAATTTTTAAAAGCTTACATGGTTATCGATCCTAATTATTGAAGGTACAATGAATACATTTTGTAAAAATATTAGAAATTGATATTGCCAAAAAGTAAAAAAAAATACAAGAAAACTGAAATGCTGCTTCTTGAAATAATGTATGATCTAATATCAATTCCACAACATTTCATAACACTGTGTCTGATTTAATAATTAACATTATGTATGTCTCAGTTGTTCCCTACCTGGGGTTTAAATGTACATTGTCTCTCTGAGTTACCTAATACCACATTATTGAAGAGAATTTAGCAAAGCTTATATGTGGGTGTATCAAAACCAGTAAATATACGTTGTAAATGATCTAAGTATTTTCCAAAATTTACTTCTGTTCTATCCCTTTAAGTCACTCGCATATCATAATTTCAGATCTCAAACCCTAGATACACATCTTCAACGCCCACAACCACCTGGCTGCCAAGTCCTTGGTCAGGGCAGTGGCTTCTGCCGCCTTCCTGCCCCAGCTGAGCAAATGAGCTACATTCCCCAGCTGCTTAGCAAACACTGCTCACATGCAGTGAGGGGAGGGCCTCAGCAGAAGGAGCCAGCTGGCTAACACTCTGCCAAGGGGCAGCTTCCCTTTGCCTCTGCCTTTAATTAAGAGATGGCAATGGGCCCATCATCATGCGGGAGCAGAGAAGCCCAGTGACCTCTATTAGAGCAGGGCAATCGCAGGCAGACATGCCAGCTGGCAAATGCGCGTGCCCTGGAAAACTCTGCCACCTGTGTTTGGCCAAAAGCCATCGGATAAAATAGTGGTGTCATTCTGAAGGTTCAAAACGAGCTCTGGAAACCTATCAGAACCCCCACCTCAATACGTGGTATAAAAGCTCATTGTCCTTTATTTTTCCTGAAAATCTTTTAAAAAATCTTCATGTATATTACATCAGTAAGTTCTATGATTTGGCTTGACAAAAAGATCCCGAAATCAGTATCTCCATTGTAAAAAGGAAAACGCTGACCAAAAGAAATGAATAACTTCCACCAAAATGACACAGTAAAGATATTGCTACTTTTAAACCATGTATTTAAACAACTTGTTATTAATTTACTGAAGATATGTATAAAAACCTTTTTTCCCAAATC